ACATCTATCAAATTTAGCGTTTATTTTCACCTATTCAGGGAAACCAAATGAAATGTGTGAACCAAACCAGATAAAACTACTGGGCAAATATATAAAATGTAGTGAAAATCGTATTACCATGTCTGTGTTTCCTTTGGCTCAGTGGCAGGTCCTTTTCTTAAGTGGATTTCAATGGCAGCTTTTTGGCTTTCGGTGATTTGCAAAGGGGGGAATAATCGCCAACTGACCTTTAAAAGGAAAATCAGTAAAAAAAAATCAATAAAATAAAAAACAAAATCATAGGTGAGCAAGGAAAACCTCGGTGGCCCAAAAAAGTATCATTTCCAGAGCTCTCATTGTCGAGTTTCACATTTTATTTCATTTAATTTCCTTTCTGTGCTCATCATTTACAATAATGTCTACGTAAAATTAACATAAATTTGCGATTTTCCAGCAGCTTAGACGAGTATTTCAGGCTCCAAAACAAAAACCAGAGCAGTGGCAGAAAGTCAAAGAAAAACAAATAAAAAGACAAAAGAAAAGCTGCAAAGTAGGATGAATAAAAAAAAGCGTAAAATATGCTAAAGTTGACAGCTTAAGGCCTTTTTGAGTCGTTGCGGCGTCAGAAAAAAGGAAACCAACTCAAGCTGTCAGGATTTATGTTCTTAAGGTGAAGTGACCTGGCTAGATATTGAATTGTAAAGTGCAACAGCTCTAATGAGAAAAGCAGTTTAGCCAACTCCAATTGAAATTCAATTTATCAGTGCCTGAGAGCAGGCTCAAAAAATCCCTCAGGCTGCTTTTCATTCAATTCAAATTCCATTTGAATAGAAGATTATTCACAGCACCGAGTGACAAATTTGTTTACGTTTAAGTATGTAGAAAATGCAAAACTCAAGCTCAATGCTCATATCAAAATTGTTTGCCAAAGCCCAACTTTAAGTGCTTAACGGCAAGCTCAATAAATTTCTCAACTTACACCACAAAGAAGTTTTGCCAAGAACTCGAAAACTTTACTGTTTTTTTTTCTGGTTGAGGGAGAAAATAATTTCGAGTGTGCTAGAAACAGAATTACCAAATTTGCCTCTCCAACAAACAAACAAACGGGAAACGTGAGGATCTGGGAATCTCTCTATACATACATATAGTTCGCAGTTATATGTAACTACATTGTAACGACTGCTCTGCAAATCCCCCTACGAACCATAATCTTCATGTCTGTTTGCAACTGTTTGCACTGACAGCCCGGGTTGGTTTTTTGGGTGGACTCATCCTCATTCTCGTTCTCGTTCGCGTTCTCGGGATTGGGATTGGGATTGTGTTAGGTACCGCTCCCCTTTGTTCACTTGCAGCGTGAAAATTGCACAAGATTGCCTGTGCTTCTGCTCTGGAAAATATTTATATTTATAATATTTTTTGTAGCTGTCATTTGGCCGTGTATTTGTGTGTTGGGGTTTGTTTTTTTGGGGTAACACAAACTACGTTTTGCGGAGTACTGTTGAGTGGCGGCATCGCCTGCGGTTGGCAGTGGCTAATAAATCACGAAAATATAAAACTCTATGTGTGCCATATCAAAACTAAAGTAGGCCAGTGGGGGAGAAATTTAATTGCGGTTGCCAAGCTGTTCTAAAATCGGGGGTGTCAAAGAATACCATGATTTCGTCAAATCTCACCAAACCAATTTAATGAAACTTAAATGCCTTTTACTAACAAATAGATTTATGCAGATAACAACATGTTAAACATCTTAAATATCAAAAATAAACTGTTTTCTTTAAGATCGTCTTCATAAATATATATGTTGAGGGCAACCTTACTTAAATGCTTGTATTTAAGTTTATGCAGAACTAATGTCAAACAAATGAAATCTTTTAGTTTGGAAGAATAATAAGTATTTTTTTGCGTATCACTTTTTTTTAAGACACTTCTAAATACGTGTAACGTATTATTTAATAAAACTTTACACGTTTATCTTAACATGTAAAAAAATACTTTAAGCCATAACCTTTTGCATATTCCACCCCATCAAAGAACACAGCTTTCAATTTCCCAATAACCGTTCAATCATCGCGGCTAATCAAGTGTTTCAAACAGGGAGCGAACGCCAAATGGAAATTGTTGCCTCCGGTGGCCAGCTCTTTGGTTATCCATTCCTTTATGCATGGGTCCCATAAATCAATTGCAAATTACCAGAGAATCGAGAAATCCCAGGAAGGCAGAGGCGCCGTGAGAAGGAGAATTCATCCAGGCCACAGCCATTTCTCAGTGCCTATAATAAGCAAGTGAATGCGAATGTGGCTATGACTGTGACTGTGAATGCACAATTATGGCCGCTTGGATGGTCGTAAAACAAGAAAGGATCCAGTCCCCCTTTGACCCGCCCTGCCTCGTCCTTATAGCCATCCTATAAACCCTTGGACCCCAACTCTTCGCACCCACTTTCCCCCGCATTTCCACCCGGTGATGACTTTGTCACCGTGGCCTCCAGTTGCAAAGGCAAAGCCAAAGTCAGCGGCAGCGACATCAATAAAATAAACAGTGACAGTGGGTGGCAGTGGGTGGATTTGGGTGGTGGGTTGCTAGCCAGTGGGCGGTGGGGGGCCAGGAGGCTGGGCTTGAACAATTGAACACGCGACATTTGGCCAATGTTTGGTGTTTGTTATCCACGATGTTGTCTTCGCTGCCTGTCGTCTCCACTTTGACTTTTATCTATTGACATAATATTTTTTTATGCTCCTCCAGCTGGAGGCGCTTGGTCTTTGGGGGCGTGTCAAGCAGTGGTTACGATGCTTCACTCAGAAAAAAAAGTATTTAAAATTCGAAATATTTTTACATAAATCTGATGCTTAAAGTTTTGGTTTAAAATTTTTTATATTTTCCCAAATTTATGGAATTTTATTTTTTGGAACCATTTGGCTTCTAAATTATAAGAAGACAATAATTTTAAAATTAAAAAAATCATATTTCCATTTTTGCAATTTTTATATATGTTTTTTTTTATTGTTGTCCATTTTTTAACTTAATACGACTTTGTGCAGTGTAGCGCTTTGGTTTTCGCACTCCAGTCAGCGAGTCACTCAACGAGTCCTTCTATCCAACGGCTTAGTGTCAACGGCTTGTTTAGATTTAAGGACACATTTGCAGAATAGTAAACGAGAATATCCAATGACATTAGATTTAGGAAAAGGAGATGGAAAATAGATTGAAGAGACAGGAAAAATGAATTTTAAAACAAGTTTCAATCCCATTTATCCACAGGGACTTAACAAAAAAAAAGTCAAGCAAAATACTTTAAGTGCATACAACTATTTTTTCTGGGTTATCCCATTTTTAGCATGCCACAAATTTCTATTGTTCCATCTTTTTTAGAACTTAAGTGCTGCGCCTGGACTAGTTTTGATTGCACCCCATTGAAATAACGAGGTGCACATGTGCTTCTATTCTCCGGTTTCCCTAACCATTCTTTCGAATAGCTGCGCTTTTTATAACCCGTGCATCCGGAGAGTGTGAGGGATATCTCCGGCCATGTCCGTTTATGCAAGTGTTAAATAAAGTATCCGTCGACCATTGTAGTTTATGCCCAGTTCGCCCAAGCCGCTGACATTTATTGCCTCTTTCAAAAAAGGGGTTAGGAAGGCAGCAACCGAATGACAACATTTATTACGGCCCAGCCACATAAAACACGAGCAGCGGAGTTTATAGTTGCGGAGGTTTCCGCCTTTCAGTCCGGAGTCCAGAAGATAATGATAAATGGTCCTGGCCAGGTAAGATACTAATTAGGTTAATGAATCTGCCAAAAAGCGCTTTAAAATTTGAGTCTTTCAGCGGTATTGCATCCAAAAAATATATAAATATTTATTCATTTTTAAATCAATTAAATACGAATATAATAGATTTCCATTAATACTTTTTTCTACACAAGTCAAAAGTTTCATATATATATTATCCATGTTTTTTTGGTGGTGATTAAAAATAATAAACTTCTCCTACTGGAATAGTTATTATTCAATCTTTCAGCTATGCAAATGTTTGGCTAAAACTTTATTTTTCAATTTCATTGTAGCAGTGACCAACAAGCGTAGAGATTATTTAAATTTATTTTATTTAGTTGCGTTCTTTTATGCTGAGAACTTTTGCAAATAAAGCAGTTTATTGTACCGGTGGGATTTATAATCCACACAAGCGTTATAAGTGCTCCCTCACCTTCAGAGATCCCGATCCCAAACCCAATCCCTGAGAAATAACTGAAAAGGAAAGTCGGTAGAGAGAAAGAAGGAATACAGAGTTCGGGGTCTTTTGGTCCTATCCTTCGAGCATTTCAAATTAAAAGCACTCGCCGCGTTTTATTGCTGTGCCTGCATTTTTCCTTACTTTTTCCTGCTGCCGGTTTCTCGTGTCGGACATACAAATTTTTATGTCCATTTGGCTTTATTTCACACTTTCTTGTTTATTATTGCTGCTGTGCTGGGCCGAAAAACACGAAGCGAGAAAAATTTAAGTATTTGGCCCTTTTTCCATTCCCCCGACTTCTATGACCAAATAATGCTGTTGCCATTGATTTATGCAGGGACTTTTGCAAACTCTTTTGGTGTCTGCTTCTGTCCTTTATTCGACTTAAATGCCAACTTAATTGTTCTGCCAGTGTCCAGAAAGGAGGCAATTTACTTATTTTATGGACGACAAAACCCAACCTTCCGTATCAGCATTAAAAAAGTGGGGAAAAATCTGAGCATTAGGTCACTTAATTTAGCGCAAAATGATTAGAGTCTTCCAATTTTCATGGGCCTCGAAATGGTCGCAGGGTAGGAATTTGTGGGGCGTGTAAAAATTGATTGAAAATGTAAGTAAACAGAATGCGCACTAATTAAAAACGTGTAAGCAAATTAGAGAGGAAATTATTGTAATGTGTTTATTTTGTATTTAATGCAAAAAAATATATTTACACAGTGAAATAATAATAAATATATTTATTTAATCTGCTGAACTAATAAGCAAACAGAGTAATGGTTTAAAGAAATAGTTTAAACCTTGCGTTTAGCGTCCAGAACTACATGGTTATTGGCACTTTTCGAATATTTTTCGTGCAGCTCCTGGCAATCTTTGTTGGCCACATTTCTCCAGGTACTTCGGTCCATGTGATATAGCCTCACCAGACCGCCTGAAAAAATATCCCTCATGGTGGCATGATACACTGCGCGAAAGGCGAGATCGAAGGCTTCCTCGTTGCTGAGATTAAAGCGGTAGTCGGTATCTAGGATTCCCAGGGCATTCGAGGCACCACTTCCCACGGCAAAGACTTTTCCGTGGATGCGCAGTCCATCGGAGTCCACATAAACCAAACTGGGACCTTCGGTGGACCATCCTGCCAGCATCATTCCCATGCAGAGACCCATTCCCTTGTAGTCCGCTGCCACATTGCAAATAAATCTGGCAGCGGATCGGACTGATAATAGCTCCTTATAGCGCAGCTCGTGAAGTCTGCTCTCCCTGGTCAAAACTCGGTCCCAGTAAATGCAGTCCGCTGCCCCACCTGCCATGGTGCTCAGCATATACTTGTTCACCTGCACCACCTTCTGCATACTCTGCGATCCAATAAATTTCCCAGACGTGGCCCTGGAATCCACACACAGGATAATGCCACCTCTGTAAACGAATCCCACCGTGGTGGTTCCGTGATCAAAATCCATCCGTACATTACTCAGGGCTGCCAGTTCATTCAGACGTTCCCGGGGTCTCTCAAATGGTGGGGCCATTATAGCGCAGGGATTATCCATGTTACTCGAGGCCAGTCTGATTTGTTCGATTGTCTGTTCGGAGGTGAGGGAGCCAAATCCCCTCATAAACGATGGCTTATCCATCCCACAAATCTTCTCCAGGGCCATGATGAGCACTACAAAAGATCTATTAATTATTTTAGTTCAAAGTGTAGTGTTTTTTTATATATAAATATAGTGATGTTTTATTTGATTTTGTCTTTAAAGATCGTATTGAATCATTTAATTGTTGACAATTTTATCAAGGCAATAATGTTTAATTTAAACGCAGAAAAAATTATAAAATAAAAAAACGAGCTTTGCGTAACTTACATCAATTAATTACAACTTAAGATACCTTGTATTTTCCCTTATATTTTTATTTGGTTGTCTGCAGGAGTGGTGCTTAGTTATGTAAAAAATTTAAATAATTCCAGTTTTAATGTCTGTAAATAAATAAAAACAAAATTAAATTGTACACTTTTCTGAGAGCCAAATATAGGCACGAATTAAAACCAAAATAAATAAATATTGTTTGGTATATTATGAAGCCTACGATATAAAACGAAAATAAAACTATTTTGTGAGATTTTGAAAAATATGCCAAAATGTACAGTAAAATATTTACACATCCACCTAAACGGAACTCAATAAAATGCAGGCAAAAAGTTTTGTATTTGCAATATTCTTGTGATAAATTCATGTTGCCAGCTTTTATATTTTTTCTTTCGCTTTTGGCAGCATTTACCCATGTACAGATTAAAATATGTTTGCCATGGGTTTTATGAGCTTTTTCGCATTTTATGTGGTGCCCAGGATATGGCCAAGAAACGAGAACCGAAAATTGAATATTAAATAACCTCAAGCAATAAACAGAATTACATGGCGTGCGAATGTTGTGCAGATGAATGTGTGAATTGTTTATGACATTAATATCCGTTTGTTTGTGCAATCATTTAAAAAGGATTACACGATTAGCATTGCACAGCGGCAATTGATAACCGCTTAAGGCGATGCGGAAATTGTCATTTATATTAATTTTCCTCAAATTCTCTAAAGTGATTCAACTTATGTTTTAATCGCTGAAATACAGATTAAATGATAGCAAAGTGCTGAAAGGAAAACATCAGCAAGTGTTAGAAAAATGCACTGAACGAATTCCATGATTTATATTTGAATTTTTGTTAATAAAATTAGATTTAACCTAATTAACTAATTCATATTTTCTTAAAAATTATGTTTATATGCTCATTATTCAAATGTGTAGATTACTAATTTGAATTTTATCATGTAACTTATAAAACATTTTTCTCTGTATGTCTGCGAAAAGAAACACTTAAGGCCTGAGAACCCTTAAATCCTAGAACCATCTATTAGCCAAACTGTTGGGGTAATCAAATTTAATGTTCCACCCAACGCACTATGGGGTTTTTGGCCTGTTTTTGTGGCATTAATTAATAACTCGGTCAGTTTTGGAGATATCGACATGAAACTTTACCAATCGTCATTGTTTGTCCCTAGGCACATATAGTGTGAAAATCGTTTGGATCAGGAAACAATATCCTATAGCTCCCATAGGAACGATCGGTTAAAACTAAAAAAAAATTAATGAAATTTAAGGAGCTGAAATTTGTTGCTCCATGCCTATAAAAGTGGATGATAAAAAGTGCAACAAAAGCAAAAAGAAAAAATTTCCTCAAACTCAAAACTCATCGGCAGCCACGGATACATATCGACTAACAATTCGCCAGTTTGTAGGCAAAATGATTCGAATTTGTCCAAATTGACGGGCAACTGACAGGACAAACATATCAAAATGATCCTCATATTATAAATAATTTGTTCATCAAACATTGTATAGCCTTTTCTTGCTCAAGCCGGCCCTTCTCGCTATTCCAAACAGCAAACATGTCGGCGTTGGAGAAAGTGAGGTTATCTAAGAAAAATTCAAATTGCACCAATAGTGCGGAAAAGTGCACAATAAGACTAACAGATTTTTGCTCAGAATTGACAAGGCTACAAGATACACTTGGACGCATTGAAAACTAATGCAAACTTCTATTTCAAAACTCTTCCCAAAGTTGAAATTTGTTCCTAAAAATTCAGCTTAAGGTGCATTTATAAAATGACAAAATATTAGTATAAACACTCATAATTTAAGCAATTAATACATTTAACATATAGTACAAGCCTGTGAGATCAGTTTCCATTTGTTTTTTTCTTTTCAAATGGTGTTTTACACGAATAAATTAATTTCAAAGAACGCTTTGAAAAAATTGCAAACTTAGCGCTGGTGCTTTTGGATGCAACAGCTGACTTTACAGCTGTTATGCTAACATATGCTGTTAAGTATTAACATTTTGAGTATGAGGCATAACAGTTTGATGTTCTGTTAATGCACTCCCATTTTTATACCCTTGCAGAGGGTATTATAATTTTGGTCAAAAGTGTGCAACGCAGTGAAGGAGACATCTCCGACCCTATAAAGTATATATATTCTTGATCAGGATCACCTCCTGAGTTGATATAGCCATGTCCGTCTGTCCGTCTGTCCGTCTGTCCGTCTGTCTGTTTCTACGCAAACTAGTCTCTCAGTTTTAAAGCTATCGAGTTGAAACTTTGCACACACCCTTCTTTCCTTTGCACGCAGTATATAAGTCGGAACGGCCGGGATCGGCCGACTATATCCTATAGCTGCCATATAACTGATTGATCGGAAATGCCATAACTCTGCTGTTTGTTAAGTTAGGAAGTTGGGACTTTCTATGGGTTTTATATTTGGCCAATCAATCCGACGTACCAAATTTCATAAGGATCGGCCGACTATATCCTATAGCTGCTATATAACTGATTGATCGGAAATGCCATAACTCTGCTGTTTGTTAAGTTAGGAAGTTGGGACTTTCTATGGGTTTTATATTTGGCCAATCAATCCGACGTACCAAATTTCATAAGGATCGGCCGACTATATCCTATAGCTGCTATATAACTGATTGATCGGAAATGCCATAACTTTAGTGTTTGTTAAGTTAGGAAGTTGGGATTTTCTATGGGTTTTATATTTGGCCAATCAATCCGACCTACCAAATTTCGTAAGGATCGGCCGACTATATCCTATAGCTGCCATATAACTGATTGATCGGAAATGCCATAACTTTGGTGTTTGTAAAGTTAGGAAGTTCGGATTTTTTATGAGTATTAAGAATGCATCATATGAATAATTTTGGAGAATATAATTTACAGAGTATTCTGCAAGGGTATATCAACTTCGGCTCCGCCCGAAGTTAGCTTTCCTTTCTTGTTTTTTTTTTAATTAGAGCACTTTTAAAAAATGACTAAATGCCACATAAAGTGGTCAAAAACCCCATAGTGCAACGGTTGGGCTACAAATTTTAGGCAATTGAAATGTGTGCGGCCTGTCAAAGGTTAAAACGTTTTGTTGTATTGCCAAATTTGCTCTTGACCAACGACGAAGGCGTCCCAGTTAGGACCACATTGTCAATCAGGAAATTCCTTAAACACAGCTATGCTCCGACCCCTTTTGCCCCGTTTCTCCACGATTCTCTGGGTTATTTGCCAATGTAGAAATGGCAAACACTTGGTCCGGCCTCCGATTTTCGTTTGTGTTTGGGTTTGGGTTTGCCACCTGGACCAAGCCGACTGCTGTGCCGAAATTTATGCATTGCAGTTGACTTATTAGGGTCTCCACCCCACTTCGACCCCTGTCCCCATCCGATTTTCCTGTTGATTCGCTTTGATTTGGCCGGAATGCCCCTGAGCTGGCCAACTGTGTGTGTCAGAACTTCGCTTTACAATCGGTTTTGGCCCGCTCCGGGGGATGTCCTCTCATTAATGGTGGCTAATCATGTTTAATTAATCATTTGGGAGGCCGTCATTTGTGATTTTAAACGGAAATTCTCCCTTTTCTCAGATAGAATGTGAATAAACAAATAAAGCTCTTTTAATAAAATTCATCTTTTAAGTTACGGAATTCTTAACTAGGATTTTTTCTTTGCAAATACAGATTTAATATTTATTATTTTTTTATTTTTATTTAACTCCTTTATTAAATTCCTGTATACAACTGGTCATGAAGACAAAACAGGTCAAGACATTTACAGGTGTATAATACGCATATTCATATTTGCATATTTTTTTGGAAATATCTTAATCGCTTTTCAATCCACATTTTAAGACGGGCCTATGAAAATAGTAAAATATATAAAGTCGTGATGAGTCGTCTTGCTTTTCAGGAAGTTCAAAATTAGTAATGGAATTATAAAATTGGGCATCATAAGAAAACGGGTTGCATTTACAGGTGAATGATGCTCACATTAGTATCTGCATAGTATTTTGGAATAAGAATCTTGATCTCTTTCCAATCCATATTTTTATTCGGGTTGATCAAAATTATAACATGTATGAAGTTTCGTTGAGTCGTCACCAATTTCGCCCTGCTTTTCAGGATGTTCAAACTTATTATAAACTTTATCTAGAGAAACGTTGACTAAGGTTAAATCGTCTTCACGTTCGCCTTGATTTTGTAGAGAAACATCTTCTAAATATTTTTTAGAGTACTTTAAAATAAATTCGTCAGAAAGTGCTTCAGATTGTATAAGAAATTTCATATCTTTTAAATACTCATCACTGTGTTTATGTTGTTCTTTAGGTGTTTTTGAGCAAAACTCAATGTTTATATCAATGTCATTGGTATTACATTCCTCAGAATATATTTTTGAGGTACTCTCACTTTCTGTATCGTCAAGTTTATGCTCGCTTAGAAGATCTGTCAACTCTTGTAGGGAATTATCCACCAATTGATGAAGCTCAATGTTAGATTCCTCCATTTTTATATTTGGTACATCATAATTAAAATTATCATTAGAATCAGGAAATTCATTGAATAGATCAACTTCACCTTTTGTACCCATTTCGGAATAATCTAAATAATTTTTTTTCTGCTGCTTCACCGGGTTTTCAAGAATCTTTTTATTAGCAAACAGATCTGCTTTAGTTTCCAAATCATTTTCAGTTAAATTAATGGAATCATTTTTAGTCGAAGTAATTTTATTTAATTCTTTTTCATTAAAGTGGGGTTTTTGGCAATTTTCACTCAAATCGTTTTTATCCAGATCATTTCCGGTGGAATCGATTTTTTTAAAACAATCGATTTTCTTGGAATTATTTGTAGAAGAATCATTTCCTTCGATAGATTTAACTGAGTACAAGCTCAGCATTTCCATCAACTTTTGTAAAGAATTATCAAATGCTTGACTGAGATTAATCTTATTTTCTGCATCAACATTAAGATTACTCATAATCGAATCACCGCTGCCATTGTTTGTATTATCTGGACAGCTTGGTATGCATTCCTCCTGACAATAATATTTATTGGATTCATCTTTTTTACGATTTGATTTATATTTTCCTTGCAAGTAATTGTTTGTTTCATCTTCACATTTTGTCTTGCATTCCTCTTGGTAAAAATCATTTTGGTTTTGTTTTATATTTTTCTCTAAAAACTTTTCATCTTGGATAGTCTTTGTGTCCGCAGTATCATGCTGGTCTGGTTTTCTTTCCCAATCATTTTTAGGTGAGTCTATCTCAAAGGAATAGTATTTAGTAGAATCGATATTAATAAAATCCTTTGCTGTCGAATCATTTTTAATATATCTTTTTTCAGTCGTTTTAATGTTAATGAAATTGTTTTCAGGCGAATCGATGCAACTTAAATCTTTTTCAACCGACTCATTTTGTATAGATTCTTGTTTAGTCAAATCGATTTCAAACAAATCATCATCACTCAAAGTATTTTCGGCGGAAACGACCTTATCAAATTTACTTTCAGAAGAGTTATTTATATTTGAACCATTTTCTTCCGAATTTAATTTTATTACATTTTCATCCGTATTGATTTTAATGGAATAACTTTCACCCGAATTAATGCAACTTAAATCTTTTTCAATCGACGTTATTTTTATCGATTTTTGTTTAGTTAAAACGCTATTATTCAAATCATCATCAGTCAAATCATTTTTAGGGAAATCAACTTTATACAAATTATTTCCAGTATAAGTTTTTTTATCCGAATTATTTTCTTCCGAATTTGCTTTTAACATATTTTTACCCAAATCTATTTTAATGGAATCATTTTCAGTAGAACCGATTTCATTTGGATCATTTTCAGTCGAATCGATTTTTGTCGCATACTGAGTTGTTTTTTTTTTCTTAAGATTTTTAAACGACTCGAATTTTATTGAATCGTTTTTAGAAGAATCGCTCTTTTTTAATTTAGTTTCGATGGAATCAACTTGAATTATGTTATTTTCAGACTTTTCGATTTTAGTGGTATCGCTTCTGGTGGAATTTATTTTGTTTAAATCATTTTCAGTCGACTCTACAGTCGAATGGATTTTGGTAAAATATTTTTTAATCAAAGTATTTTCAGAACCGAGTTTATTCGTGTTATTCGTAGTTAAGCTTTTTTGAGCCAAATCGATATGCTTAGAATTATTTTTTTTCGAATGAGTTATTGTTTTATTAATTTTAGTGGAATCGATTTGAATCGAATTATTTTCACCTGAATCATTTTTATTTGAATTATTATTGTTGGAAAGAACTTTAATCGGGGTTTTAGGTGCATAAGCTGCCTTCGCTGGTGTGTTCCCTCCCAATCGCAAAAGAAGCTGATTTATTTCTTTTCTAACACCATTGACGATGGAATCCGTTAAATTTTCAGACCGGAGAGCCGAAAGTTTATTCGACAAAAGCAAAATATCATCAGTCATTTGGCTTAGTACAGCATTATCCTTTTCAACTTCGGACATAAACTCCCTGAATTCTTTGTCCCAATCCTGCTGGCCTACAGAAATCGCATGGGGTTCCTTGTCTAAATTAGCTTCAATTTCTTTTAGTTTTTCAAAAACTATGCTGTTTTGAGCTAGCAAGTTTTCCCTTTCCGTTAAACACGATTCTATTGAGGTGATTCTCTCCCTTTGAGCATTTATAAACTGCTGATCATTTTCTACTTTCCCCAATGATATCTTAAGATCAAGGATTTTCTTCTGAATCCAGGTAGAGGCTTGGGGCAAGGTGAAGCTCGTGAAACCCTTTCTGGTGTCTTCTTTAATACAAACCGATTCGATGGGTTTATGCGTAAGTCTCACATACTGAACATGTTCGCCTTTAATAACATTCGCCTCGACTTTGTTTTCTTCCAGCAGTTCGCAAACGACTTTATAGGCCCTTTCCCATATAATGATCTCAAAGTTCACCTTCATCCGCATGTCCTTAAAAATGTGATCCCAGTTGTCATAATCGGCTTTCATTATTTCTATATCACTGCGAAGCAACTTGCACTCATTCCCATCGCAGATGTCCAGTTTTATTTGCTCTTCGATTTTATCTGGGTCGTTAATGCAAACTATTGGAGCTACTGGGGTTATCTCGCTTATTGGTTTCGATAGTAAGTCCATCTTGGATTCTGGCAATAAAATTTATTTATTTTTTATTTGGTTACTTAACTTAATGTGGTTTATGCTTACCAAACAAAACGAATCAATATTTTTTGATCTTCAGCCTTAAAATATTTTCTATTTCGTTTTATCTTTCCAAATTTGTCATCTGATAAATGTTGATTGAGTACTGCAGTAACTTGTCATACATAAAACACAAATGCTTCTCGGTTTAAATATAACAATATTTAACAAGATTTATAAAATAATATTTGTAAAAGAAATTTTCATCAAAGAGCAAATTCTTTAAAGTGGCGTGCTAGAATCCTTTTGATTAACTCCTGGATATTAAATTCTCTCTATATTTCAGACGTAGCTCACCTTAAAGGACGAGTGTTGCTCCTCAGGAAAGCCCCAAAGTATGCAGCAACAATTCATCGCCGGGACAAGGCTTTTAATCAAGCCAAGGACCTAGCCACGCGCACAGGCGAATACATATATGAAGAGCATGGTTACATATTCCTATACTTATGCTCTCCACGGAGACAGGGACAACATAATCACATGCATAGCTGCAATTTCCCTTGCATATTTACAGGCGCCGTCTCCTTGGACCACCCGATGATACATAACTGCGATTCGCAGGCTGTAAATTTTGACTTTCAATGCGAGCTGGGAATTTGACATTTACTAATTGCCGGATTATGCAGCCAAAGCTGAAGACAGAAGGCCCCTTGAAATGCATTTCCCAATTGAAAACTCCCCAGTTAAGCAAACTCAGTTGCAAATATTTCGCAAATGAAACGGGTTAAGCTGCTCTTAACTCTACAGCCATTGGTAGCAAAGCCTGGCAACTCGACTAAGTTCTATTTCCGCTCGAGCTGAGGAAGATTCCTGCAGCTGTCATCGGCATATCGACGGCATTAATTAATCAACGTTATGCATGTCAATCGAGAAGTGTATCAGCCATCTCTTTCCGTTTTGGCCCTGCCATCCATCTGCTGCTTGTTGGTATTTGCTTTTTTCCAAGCAGAATATCACTTTCGCAAATTGAAGTTGCTTTTCCTGTCTCTCGATTTCTGTTGTTGCATGTGTGGCATGCTTCATGGCAAGTCATGCATATTCATTGTTTACAGGTACACAAGCACCCAGAAACATAAACAATCTCTTGGCAATTTTACCTGATTTCTTTTCAAAAACTTCCACCCACTCTCCTTCAATTAGATTCGGCTTATTTGTCGTTGCATTGGTTACTTTTTGGAGGCGTGGTAAGTCAAAACATTTGAGATGCAATGACCACCATGGGTTTACCCAATTTCTATTGTTTGCCATTTAAGCTATTCGAGCAATTAACCAAATCGTATTGCAGAAAAGCCGAAAGATGGGAAAAATTTAGTAAGGAAGCTTGCAATTGTTACAAGGAGACCTGTTTTATGGACTGTTGGATAGTAATAGAATTTCACACCGCCTGGTTGATATCCTAAGGATGTGAAAAATTAAGGAAGCTACACAAACATTCTACTTCAGATTGAACAATATTTTAGCATCAGAGCTTCGGACATAAAATATATATACTCACTTTTTAAAATGTCTGGAGCTCGTCCTTTAAAATCTCTTTTATTTCCTTATGTCTCATCCTAGTATTTCTAATACATAATTTACCATTCAAAATACTTATCGTCTACCGTTTAATGTACTGCAGATATGCCAAGGATTATACACTTTTATTGCCAATCAGCAGATACGAAGAAATTTGCATAGCTACTCCACATACAAGACCTGTAACTGCTCTTCTGTTTTCAATTTATATTTATTTATTAGCCTGGACATTCATAAATTCGATGTCGTTCAGGCCATAACAATCATAATCTTCGATATAATTTCCACTTTATGGTTGCCTAGCTGTGGGGCGATAAAAATTTACACATTGATATGTTTTTATGGTTGCTAAAAATAAAACAAGGAAAGTAAACAAATAAACAATGTACAGGGGCATCAAAGAGCAATTTCAATGCAAAATGCCTAAGACACACAAACACATGCTAACAATATTTCCCATTTTCCATGTTCAAATGCAAACGCCTTGAATGTGTTGACAATTTATAGACAAAAGGTTGGTCGGAAAAGCTGGCAAGAATAACATGTAATTTGACAAAATCCATAAACCATAAATTCTTGCTCAAGCCAGCACTAAAATTACCACATCCCCTGAAGGAAGTTCCTCGATTGTCTTTGCCACTGGATTTGTTTCGCAGCCCCCAAGAAAACTGTCTCGTAATCGCAGGCAATAAAAAGAAGAACAGAAACGCATAAAATATTATCGAAAGCAGTGCGAGTAGTTGGCAACCCTGGTAGCCGCATAAAAATCCCCCAAAAACCATAAATCGCCATCAGCCAGTAGCCATCACGACTATTAGGTTAAATCAAGCCAAAGTCATGAGCCCAAATCAGCATTGAATAAATTTAGTGGCCACTTTTGGGTATTTATCATGTAATGCTCGGATCCATTTTTTTAAATGCCCAATCAGAGGGTTTTTGCTTTGATTCCTTAATGGGAGGCAAAAGGAACAAATGAGCTACAGATCATAAATTGTGATGGAAGTAATGTCTGCTAGTAATCAGTCATTGTTTTCTTAACCATAGTCACAACAATTTTTGATAATTAAACAAAAATTGGATGGAAATAGTTTTTCGAACAAAAATCTTGTTATTCCTTTTATTTTTTTTTGCCCCAAGTGAAATAGAAGTGAAAATAGAGAGAAAGTATAGGGGCAAATGAAACTGAAAGAAGGCATTGCAGAACAATTTAATTATACAGTTAATTTGCTTAAATGGCTGAAGGATGCCACAGTAATTCGACTGTTGACAGTAGTAACAGTTTGAGCCTTTCCAGAAAAAAAACTAAAGAAAGACTACTTTCAGCTAGCAAAAAGCGTTTTCCCGTTTTTTGCCCATGAAACTTTTCTCTGAATCCAAACAAAAGAGAGAGGAAAAAGTGAAGCGGGTGGTGAAACGAAGTAGATGGCAAACATTTCGGTGCATGCTGCATCAAACACATGCAGACAGCTTAAGCGCTTGATGCTTGGCTTTTCCTGTGATCCCCTCATACTCATCCTGTGAATAACCCGGACCATCCAGCCTGGATCGGTTATTAAATTTGCGTGGAGTACCCCTCTGTCCTTTGTTCGCTGAGCCTTCGCCCGGGATGTGCGGTAGCCTAACTCATAGTTTGCGGAGTTAGTTGGCCTAACTAAGTTTTGCGCCAATTCCGAAAGTTTAGGCACAAGTTGGATCCCCCAGCTCACCGTAAATGCGATTAGAATCAAGAGAACTTTGGCCCAAGTAGCAAAGGGGATATAGAAAATTAATGGCTAACAAAAGAATATTTATTAAAAATATGCATATGCTAAAGGTTTTACTTCAATGAAAGATTGCAGCATCAGTAAAAATAAAAATAAATATATGTATATAAATGCACCCTTAATAGTATTTAAATTTGAATATTCAGTGTCAAAAGGGCAATCCTGTGTGGTAAAATAAATTCGATGGCCTTGGGATATGCCATAGTCCGACCACAAACTGCTCACATCACCTGGTGTCCCCTAAGATAGAGTTGTTACATCTTTGGAAAAGTCATAAACTGGGCTTCTGTCGAATCTGACCATGTCCTTTCCCGAGTCCTTCCTTGTGTTCGTCCCAGCGGGCCGGCAAATGGCATTTGAGCACGCCCGCACAATTCAATTAATGGGCATTCAAATGATATAAACCTGCTGAGGCATTTTTAGTGCAGCCTCCCAGTCGAGTGCTCCGTTTCATTAGCAGGCGTCCAGAGTGAATTGAGGTAATGCCAGGGGATGCATGAACACTGGACAGGGACACTCCCCAACCCCCTACCCTTACTACTCACCCAAGCCATGGCAACTACAACACGTGTCACATGCCCAAAGGCAAACAACAGGTGCAAAGAGAAAAAATACACCAAACACAACAACATCCTTGGTAACAGAAGCCAGTACACTGGGAAAATAGTTCTTGTAAGGCGAAATCGTTATATTATTTATACACATTTTATTACAAAACATTATTCCTTTTTCCATTACCCCTTAAATATTTTAATAATATCATCTTAATTATTAATATTTTTATAGATAATCATCTAAAACTTTTATACCATTAATTGGATTATAATTTAAAAGATCACGGATATCGGAATTTTATTTACATTTTTAGGAATGTTCTTTAAAAATAAATCAAAAAATTAACTTTAAAAAAATGTTCCTACAACAACACTCTTTATTTCTGTGTAGAAACCACCACTTCGTGGCAACCTTGTACAGTTGCCAATGGCAACCGAAAAAGACAACAAATAGTTTGGTTTTGGAAAAGTGAAAGAGTTTCGGTAAAAACTGAAAGTTCTCAAGAGGCGTTGGATAAAGAAAACCTAATCCAAGATGAGCCAGCGCACTAAATTCATTATAAATACTTCCGGTAAGTTTGCGAGTGACTTAACCATAAAATATAATCCTGAAATAACACTACACTTCAGTGGAATACTTCTCTGCCCGATTGCCGGGTGTAGAACTGGACGAACAAACGGCCATGATCCTGGAGTTTCTGGAACAGGAGGAGCAAACGGTCATCTCGGCGGTGCACAGTAAATCTGATGGCAAAATCCGATTCCACCATCGCATACCCAATGAGGAGCTCTGCCTGCTTTTCTACAAGGTGCCGCAGGTGGGACAGAATCACAGGGAAGGTGCTGAGCCCCTGCTGGGCATTTTAACTCTAGAAGGGGGCCTGGTCAAGTCGATTTACAATTCCGTTTCTCGGGTATTCTCGCCCTCTGCCAACTCAGCCCATGTGAGTCCAAGTCTATATGCGTTGTGTGCCGGCCAGTGTAGTGTAGTCCAGTGTAATATTCTACCTGGCTAATTCCCCCACTCGGCTTAACTTGCCATGTTCGTTGTCGCACTCTCTGTAGTCTTAATCGCATTTGCGCATAATTCAATCCAGTCTGCAATTACATTTTGTCAATTATACTTTGCCCTGACCTGCTCACACAACTCGTTTTTTCCAATAGGTTTAGGTTTATTCCTCCCTCTGTTTATTATTTTCAGCGCAGCGAATATGGGCCCGAGCTGAGTGGAATTCTGGAAAACTTGCACCAGAACTTGGGCTCTAGTTTGGGATTGCCACAGAGCGGTGAGTTTTTTTTAACTATATGCATGTCATGAAAATTACATTAGATTCCAGAGAGAAAACATTTTTAAGTGCATAGCAATCAGAATCATATTAAAAACTAGTTTTTTTATATTTTCATTTTTAAAAAGTAATTAATCATTTACATGGTCTTGAAAGTTATATGGATATTTCAATAAATTAAAAAAATGAACACATTATTTATATTCTTGATAGAATTTTTTATTATACCCCAGCAATTTATTAACAATTTTAATAAGTCCCCAAGATAGGTAATGCAAAGCCATATCGTTCCATATTTTAAAAGATTATGTTTTTAATTTTATCAGGCATTACAAGTCTGCGAGATGAGATAAAACATTGGAAACAGAAACTGGGCCAAAAGTCCAGTTCCCGTTTGGACCGAGAGGCAGCTCAAGTATTCATTGGCGTCTTGGAGAATATAGAGAAACAAATCAGGTAAAAAGTAATGAATTATATCACATAGCTAAATTAAATATGCAATCCCAGCACTATTGACGGAACCAATCCGAGTGGTACAATAGAGGACTTTCTCGACCATGCCCACAACAACTTGGATGAATTGTGGCGCCTTCCCTACAATTATCCGCAGCAGCGGATGAGTGATCTCCTGGACATCATTGGCAAGCGGCTGTTGGAGGTCTGTCTGACCCAATTGCTGGCCGAGGACATCTGGAGTCTGAACTCGAGCCACGTCAACAATCTGATGGGTCAGAGCATCGACACGGTGGACGCGTGGATCCAGCTCTGCGACTCCCTCACCCGGCTCTTCTGGCCAAACTACGTGAAGCACCCCTGGTTGGGTGATCCACATTTGCCCAAAAGGGGACAGCAATTTAAGGAGCGACTCAGCGAGATCCGAAGCATCAAAAACCTCTACAAACAGATTGCCACGTTGCTCGATGATGCCGAGCTGCAAGAAATGTTCCAAGAGCAGGCTCCTTTCACAGGTGAGTCTATAAAAGAATTTATTCAGATTGTATTTAAAATAGAAGAAAAGAGTGGTCGGAAATAATTACTTTACGATATTTCCTTTACGATATTTCCGACCCCTCCTTTCTGCGTTGCAAAGTTAGGACTGAAATGGGAGTTTAAAAATTTAATTAATTTCCCAAATAATATAATATTATGATTTCAATTTCAGATTTTAACATCTTCGACACATCCTCGCTGGGGCAGACAAAGTGGCACAAGGCCCTGCAGCACTTTGAGCTGGTCCTTCAGCCGATCGACGAGCGTATTGCCGCCGCCCTCAAGGCTCAATTGCATAACCACCTGAGCAATCCGCGGCAGGTGATCTTCATATTCTCCAAATACGAGACCCTCATCCAGAGACCAGCTGTTCTGGAATTGCTGACCATCGAAAGGGAGCAGTTTCTGCAATCGCTGCACATCCTTTTGCAGGACTTGCGCAAGGCCATGGTAGACTCAAACATGGAACCGGATACGGGTCACCTGTCAGTGATCTGCAATGAGTGCCGCTGGCTGAAGGTGGTGCAGCATCAGATCCAGGAGATCGAGAAGGTCAGTCATTTGATAAGTGGACGCGAGGGCTTCGACAAGATCAACAAGGCGGTGCAGGAAATCAAGGAGGAGACCGAATCCCTGCTGCGCACCAACTTTGAGATTTGGTCAGGACAGTGCTCCACGGCAGTGAAAAGCGGCGAGTTGCGGTGAGTACAGTTTAATGTAAACCCACCATTGATAAATCAAACGTTATACGATTTTCTAACTTATTGACTACCTTAATCACCTTATTAGACTTCGCGACGATCAGGCGGTTGTGAAGTTCGAAAAGGAGGGTCGCCAACTGATGCGTGTGACCTTTAACCCCAAGCTGGTGACCTTCTGCCAGGATGTGCGCGAGTTCGAGAATCTTGGCTATAATGTTCCCCTGGAACTGCGAGCAGCTGCCACCCACGCCGCCAAATACATGTGCTATGCCCGACGACTGCAGCAGATCGCCACGTTCCACAACACAATTGGGGATCGGATGATTCCCTGCCAGCGGCCCATAATGCTGAAGAATGCCTTGGAGCTGCAGCGTTTAGTCCAGAGTGAAACTGTCGCCTGGCAGGACGAATCATCCGTCCAGCGCTACGTGGATATCCTGCAGGCAGCCGTTTCCAGACTCTCCACGGACAATACGCTCCTCGTGGGATATCATGAGCAGGCCAAGAGAACGGTAGGTCTTTATAAAAGTATAACAAATAGTTTCTTAACTTAACATACTTAACCTTTTTCAGGTCATGAAACTCATGTCCACCGATCTGTTTACCCAAAACCAAATCTGGAAGGACGAACTGCGACATCTTCGCGAACTGGTGGCCACTCTGGAGCGTCAGGGTTACACGCACTTGGATGCCTTCAAGCTGCACTGGGATCACCAACTGTACAAAGTGCTGGAATACCAGTATATCCTCGGATTACTTGACATGAACAACAAGCTACCAGACATTCATGTAAAGCTGATTTTGCGACAAAGAGAACTCATCTACAATCCCCCGGAGGAGGAGATTCGGGACTTGTACTTCAGTCAGCTGAGACGCTTTATCGAGAGACCCTGTAACTTCCACGGTCTGTCGGAACACAGTCAAGAGCTCTTCAAATCGATGGTCACTGTAAACCGCCATCACTTTGGACCACTTTACCAAAGGGCAGCTGAATTGTTTGATAAGCTGGAGGACTTTAAGACCATTTGGTTGCCCTGGATCGCTTTGGGATGTGTGGATGTGGAGCAACTGTGTGGGATTCATCTAAACGAAGCCGGGGATTGGGATCGAAATTTCAGGGCCTGCAAACACTTCAGTCAGCAGTTTGCGAAACTTCAGCAGGCAGAGGAGTCCATCGACTGCATAGTGATCAATGTCCTGCCCCTGAGATCGGACATAGAACTCATCAGCAGACGCTATTGGGAGGCTCTGGCCAACAGCTTGAGAACGGCCATCCTCACGGATGTGAGTTTGATCCTGGAATTCCTGCAGAGTGCCCTGCAGTTCCTCCAAAACGTGCCCATGGATGAGGGCAGCATTAGTCAATCGGGAATGAAGTACGAAAAGATAATGACTGAGCTGCCACAGATCGAAAAAACTTTGGAGGCGGTGAAGGAAAAGGATGCCTGTCTCGCAGGTTGGTGCAAGGAAAGAGTCACCGCTCTTTCGGGAATTCTGCAGCAATGGGAGCAGTTGCAACCCCTTCTCGAAAATCATGCAGTTATCCTCCAGCGACAAGTGGACATGATCAAAAACCAGGCAGAGAGTCAACTGCAAAATCTGAAAAACGAGGCGGAAAAATTCTTACTAAGATGGGAATCCACCATAGCCGAACTGGAGGCCAACGAGCACTCCACTCTGGAGGTTTTCAAGGAGCGCAAACTCCACTGGCAGCAGTTGCAGGAAAAGAAACAACAACTTCTAGAAGAGTGCTCCAAATTTAATATGGAATTCCCATCGGAAATGCTTATTCCATTCAAAGAAATCGAAGAGCAAATGGAGCAGCAATCGAAACAATGGCAGGTCTATGATGGATTCCTCACCGAGCTGCAGCCTATACTTCAGGAGGAGTGGGCTATTTACCGGCGACGTCCCTATGTCCTGAACGAATTTATTGGTAAGTGGGAGGGCTCCATCCACGCTTCGATTGATCTGCCCTCCAAGCGAATCCGTCAACAGGTGGAGCGATTTCAATCGGCACTGCCTATCCTACAGCAACTCCAATCGGACTCCTTGAGTGAACGCCACTGGGCCAGAATATTTCAGCTGCTTAATCACAAGAATCCCAAGCCACTGCACTCCATAATCCTTCAGGATATCTTGGAGGACTTTGATGCCCTGCAATTGGCTGCCCAAGAGATCGGCAATATAGTCAGACAGGCTTCGAGTGAACAGATTGTGAGACAGGCTCTAATCGAGCTGGATCAGTGGTCAGTCACAGCACAATTGAAATTAATCACTAGGACGGATGCCTCGGGTCAGAGTGTCTCCCTGATCAAGGACTACCAGGAGGTGCTCAACAAGATCGGGGACAACCAATCCTTGTTGCAATCCGCCAAGAACTCAGCTGCTTTCGATAGCTTTTCAGATCAGGCGGAGCTTTGGGAAAGTCGTCTCAACACGTTGGACGCACTTCTTAGCAGCTTGAATCACTCCCAGCGTCGGTGAGTTAAATATTTGATACATTTATTACAATAATGCTTAGTTATTTGTAACTATATATAAATAAATATTGTGAATTTTTCCAGTTGGGTTTACTTGGAGCCTGTCTTCGGATCTGGAACCCTGCAACAGGAGCAGGCACTTTTCAAGCGCATCGACAAGGACTTTCGTTTCGTGATGCGGGAAATTGAAATGGATCCGCGGGTCACTTCGCTGACGAAGATAAACAACATCAGCACCATTGTCAATGCACTGGAGACCCAATTGGCCAGGTGCCAGCAAAACCTGATGAGCTACATAACAGTAAGTGGTTTATGCAATCCAACAAATCGCAGATATCGGTATATATAATCCTCTTCACAGGACAAGCGCAACTCCTTTCCCCGCTTCTACTTCCTGGGCGATGATGATCTACTAGAGCTGCTTGGACAGGCCAGCAAGGATGCGGATGTCATTCAGCGACACATCCGCAAACTGTTCCCCGGCTGCCACAGCCTCAGCATCCGGCAGGTGCCCCCTAATCCTGCCTCATCCTCCGATGTCAATCAGTACAGCATTATGGCCGTGCACAGTGCCGAGGGCGATGAGCTCAAACTAAGCCAGCCCGTTGAGATGAAGGGCGACATCGAGGTGAGTCACTCGTCCTAAACTGCAATATTGAACTTTAAGTTAAATATATTAAATATTTATAAAATTCTCAAATAACTTACTACAGCGCTGGCTTAATCAACTGGTGACGGTGGTGCAGGACACTCTACGTGATCAGATCTACGAGTGCTTCACCAGCACCACCGGCGGAAGTGATAACCTCAGTGAGAAGATCCTCAAAAACTATGCCAGCCAGGTGTTGGCCACGGCCCGAGCCCTCCACTTCACCCGCCAGACGGAGCAGGCCATCGGTGGCATGTCCTTGGGAAAACTGCAGCAACAGTTAAAGGATGAAATCACCCATTTGGCCGCCCTGAAACACAAATCCCAAAACGGAACCCTGATAAGTCTCAAGTTAAGAGCCCTCCTCCTCGACTTAGTGCACTACTCCAGTGTGGTGGAGCAGCTCCAGAAACACAATGTGGTCCACACCAGCGACTGGCACTGGCTGTGTCAACTCAGATATTACCATGGAAAGATGGGCGGCACATCGGGCGGCGTTAATACCAATCGACAAGTTTACGTCCGCATGGTTTATGCCGAATTTGAATACGCCTACGAGTTCCTGGGCCAGGCCAGCAAGTTGGTCCACACGCGACTCACCCACCGCTGCTATCTCATCCTCACCCAGGCCATGCACATGGGTCTGGGGGGTAATCCCTTTGGTCCGGCCGGCACCGGAAAGACCGAGTGCGTCAAGGCCCTGGGGGCCATGTTGGGCCGCTTGGTGTTGGTTTTCAATTGCGACGAGGTGAGTAAGGGTGCACAGTCAAGATAAATGGGTGCCAAGTGCACCTAAATATCAAATATAATTGCTTTAAATGTTGTTTTTAAACTTTCCCTTTAAGATGAACATTCTTTTTAGTTACCAAGGATTTTTTTGTATATATGTTTTTGCTTAGCATAAATATAATAGTTAAAAGAATACTTATATTTACAAAAAATTGTATTTCTTAGAGCAACTTAAAAACTTTATGAAGGAAGGTTATCTTCATGGATATTTTTTAAAAGGAAACCCTATAAATATAAAGAGTTTATTTATTTATTCAAAGTAATTCTAGTTAAAAAAGTTTAAAAACTTATTTTATAAAGTTTGTAGCAAATTAAAAATCTTAATTAATTTTTATAAAATATTTGTAAGTACATAGATATTTACGTTTTTTTCGAGTGCATAATAATGCCCCTGCTATACGTCATAATGCCATGGTTTGTTTGCAGAATGTGGACACCGAGTCCATGAGCCTCATCCTCACTGGGCTGGCCCGCTGCGGGGCATGGGGCTGCTTTGACGAGTTCAACCGGCTGCAGGAGGCCACTCTGTCGTCCATCTCCATGCTGATCCAGCCCATCCAGAGCGCCCTGAAGGAGCGGGCAAACAGCGTCCAGATTGGCGAGCGACAGGTGAGCAGGATGAGTTATGGAACGGGTCGAAGTTGAAATTGGTGTGACAAGAATAATGGCTCGATTGGTTGGGTTGGCTTACAGTTACCACGTTTCGGGTGGTTTTATAGATGTGCTGGTTTATTTGTGACTTATAAAATTCTGAGATTATGAAACTATTAAATTAAAATTTTTCTTGTTCTGGCAACCTTTCCAGTTGAGTTTATCTAAAGTAAATCTTTAGCAAAACCATCAATTGAAACTGTTTTTCTTTTTTTAGGTCCAACTCAACCAGCACTGTGGCATATTTGTCACCTTGAATCCGGCTGGTGCGGAGTACGGTGGTCGTCAAAAGCTGCCCGGCAACATTCAGGCTCTATTCCGACCTATTGTTATGCAGCAGCCGGAGCCCGGGGAAATCGCCCGGGTTATGCTCTTTGTCGAGGGCTTCTCCGAAGCCTCCTCCATTGCATCCCGCATCGTGGAGCTGTTCGATTTATGCGGCAAAATGCTATCCGCCCAGCGGCACTACGACTGGGGACTCCGAGAGTTAAAGACAGTACTTCTGGTGTGCGGTGAGGGTTTGAGGGGGCAATTAACCGACGAAGGAAACACCGATGCCAACAAAGAGATGTCTGTGGTGGTGCGATGCTTGCGCTCGTCCACCATGTCCAAGTTGGCCCCTCATGATGTCAGTCGATTTGAGATGCTGCTGCGGAATGTTTTCCCGGAGATTGGCAGTTCGCCGGCGCCAGAAACCCAGCTCCATCAATCTCTATCCGCCGCCTTTGTACAACTGGGACTGTGCCGCAGCGAGAGGCAAATTGAAAAGGCCCTGCAACTGCACGAGCAGCTCCAAAAACGGATGGGAGTGGTGTTGGTGGGGCCGCCAGGATGCGGAAAGTCCACCGTCATGGCCCTCCTTAAACAGGCTCTGAGTGGAGCCCAACTGAGAGTGCACACCATCAGTCCGAAGTCCATGAGTCGCGTCCAATTGCTGGGTCGCCTGGATGCCGATACCCGTCAGTGGCAGGACGGAGTACTCACCCACACGGCGGTGGCGGTCAATCAGGAGCCATCCCAAGTCCACTCGTGGATCGTTTGCGATGGCAGCATAGATCCCGAGTGGATAGAGGCACTCAACTCTGTTCTGGACGATAACAAGTGAGTAAAATTTAGTTACAAAATATCTGAGAACCAGTAAAAACCCTTCATATACAACTTGATATCATGTTTTAGCAATACTTGATTGCTGCTTATATTTCGCTTTTGTTTTTGCGCATAAATTCGTAATAATTATTTCGCGGCTGGCCATACTATATCATTATATCATATAGGTATACAGTTATCGTTATATCGTATTGTAGATCGTATCATCCTAAACTTGCATATATTGTATCGTCTATCACTTAGCGACTAAACAAAATACGTACAGACCTAAAAAACAGAGAAATGCTTTAAACGACGATGACATAAACAAATTATGACGGGGAAGCCCACTAAAGTAACGTATTGCGAATTGCGTAACGCAACATAATACGTATCGGCATTTTTCAAATGGCGTCTACTTAACATACACAAAAATGAACATGGGTGTGTTTCAGTGCGAGTCTGTGCGTTTAAGATGTTGGCACACATCCTTGAGAGTTGTGACTACCACAGGATAATTAGGGAAATTATACGGTTACAGAGAGAATAAAGATTCAATATAAATAGAATCTTGTACAGTTTTTGCATGAAAATATTTACCGATTGTCTACCAAAGTTACATATTATAGACAAATTGATACAAAAATGTTATGTAACAAGTTTAAGGACAAGTTTTCAAATGTGTATTAAATCCCATGGTGCATTTTATCACATGTTATCATTAGAGGATCTATAAGAAGTTGAAAAATGGTTAATAATTATATATGGCCTTAAAAAATTTGCAATCGAATTAAATGGATAGTTAATGTACTAATACATTTTTAAAATTTGGGTTAAAAACTTAAATCATTTTATATCATATTGTTTCCCTAATGAATTCTTGTGGGATTAGTAGTGAGCTATAATTGGGATTATACAAAAATTGTACTAGGCTTTCACACAAATCTATTTGTGATCCCGCATTTCTAGCAACGTAGTACAATTGGTAAAAGGGATTTAAAATCACATAACTAATTAGATCACAACTCCAGGCGTGTGTGCCCTCAAACTTTCGGAAGCGTTTAGCTGGCTAGACAGTTGAGCTTAGGACTACAGGTGAGAACCTCTCACTGCGGTGCATGTTGCAGTTGCTGTGGCGGGGCAGGTTGCTGTTGCTGCTGCTGTTGTTGCTGGTGTGTGGCAGGTGGCGGGGGGCGGCAGCGGCGGCAAGGCCAGCGAGGGGGCGGGGGCGGTGGCGGCAGCGATCGCATGTGTTGCATGTGCGCTTGGGGAGCCATATGCTGGAACATGTTGCAATGCTGCTGCTGCTGGAGATGATGTTGCTGCTGCTGCTGCTGTTGTTGCTGATGGGCACTGAAATGGTGCTGCTGCTGCGGCGGTGGCTGGGCGGGATTTACATCGGGCCCGGTCTGGAGTACGATCTCCGGTTCGAGGTTGATGACCATTTCGGAGTCATCCTGCTGCTGCTGGGGATTCCTCAGTGAGGCCAAAGCCGCCGCCTGAGCGGCTGCCATCGCCGAGGCGGAGATATCCTGGCCATACTCCTGCTTAATGCCATTCGGTGGACCCGGGTACAGACTGGCACTGAGGTTCTGATGCAGGATGGGATGACAGAGCTGCGGCATCAGCGTCACTCCAGCGATCGGCAATGCGGGATGGCCGAAACTCCGAGGCGGGTAGAGTTGCTGCAACTTGTTGAGCTGCTGCAGGTGCGTGGCATGGGCGGGGGCGTGGCCAACTGAGTGAGTTGGCTGGTCATCATCCGGTTTCGCTGATGCGCCAGCTGGTGACTCAGCTGCTGCTCCTGGAGATGCGTGGGCGGAGGTTGCTGATGCTGCTGCTGTTGCTGCTGCTGCACCTGCTGGTGTTGCTGCAACTGCTGCTGCTGCTGCAGCAGTGGCGAGGGCTGCTGTCCTTGGGGCGGGGTTGGTGGCACACCCACCTCGGGCTTTACCACAGGCACTGGCGGTATCATGGCCGCGAATTCCGGCGGCAACTGCGTCGGATCCGTGACCAGTAAACCCTTCTTGCGATCCTTCCGGATCTTATCCCTCAGCTTTTCCAGCTGCCTGAAGGCCTCGTTGGCTCTTCGCGCCTTCTTTCTATCCCTATCACGTTCCTGTTCCAGCCTCCTGTACTCCGGATTCATTCGCTTGATCCGTTTTCTCTCGCGGTCTCGCTCCCTCTGGATCATCTTCAGTCGCAGCTCCTCCTCGGGGGTCAACTGCAATCGGAGATGGGAAAAGAAGGGGAAGTCATATTAAAGCACAGTGTTCGGGGCCACAGAAACTGTGGGAGTTTGTCTGGTTGGTTCGGAGGGTGCGAAAAGTGTCAACGGTCCCGGGATCTTCTAAGCCCCTACCCCCTAATCTCAAGCCATGTGAGTGTGTGTGTGTCGTGTAATTCGAGTGTTCGAGTATGGGATAATGTTTAAAGATAATATTGAATATTGGAAAAATGCTACGTTAGCACGTCGTGCCTTCTTGCGGAATCGATCGCGCTCGCGTTCCATTCGCCGGTACTCGGGATTGAGGCGCTTGATCCGCTTCCTCTCGCGATCCCGCTCCCGCATGATGAACTTGTGGCGCGCCTCCTCCTCGGGGGTCATCAGCTGAAATTACAGAGAGAGTGGTTGGTTGGCAAACGGCAGTCAGCAGAGGGGGTCGTGTCTCGATCTGAGTCTGAATCTCGGGCAGTGTTCTTGTGTGGCTAATCATTGGTCTTATGGGGTATGGTGTTCTCCTCTAGTCTTGTCTTGAAACCACATATAAATATCTGAATGAAACACTTTCAGGCTTCTGACTTTGCCGTCCGGCTGGAGGATTCAATTTGGAAGCAATGTCAACTTTATTTTCGAAACAGACGATGTGCGACATGCCTCACCGGCAACAATTTCCAGGATGGGTATTGTGAACATGAGGTGGGTCTTGTTAATTGATTTTATGTACCTATCAATTTTTAATATTTTATTTATTGTTAAAAGCTTCGATTACTATCCTGCCAAAGAGATACTTAAACATGAGCTATCAAAGGAACCGTATGGCGATCTATTGCAGAATTACGTGGATGGCAATTTTCACTATGCTGTGGAATGGCTGGACAGTCAACTCTTATTAAGGTAAGTTTATCGTATTACAAAGAAAGATTTCAAAATATATATTTTTTGTATACTATAACAGTCATCTACCCGGAATTAATCGTGCCCACCTCATTCGCTCGCTTCTGTTACAACTCCATGGCTCCCAATCTCTAGAGGAATATGGGGCAGCTACTCTTCGTGCATTTTTTGGTTACATACCCAACGAACGGCAGCGGGAGTTTGCCCAGATGATATTAAAACGCGCTAATCTCTACATAGCCAATCCTAACTACGCTGAACTGACTTACTATGATAGCCGAAGAAATTCCCTTGAGCAATACCCAGTGGATGCGATGGAGATACCAGAGAAAGGCTCTCAATTAATAATTACATCCTACATGAAATCGTATTTGGACATATTAGAAACCCTCCTGAAAACTCAGGGCAATAGAGTTGCGCCCTTTATGTTGATAGGTCCAAGTGGCTCGGGAAAAACCCTGCTCCTTCAAAGAGCAGTGCTGGAGAACTCTGGCTACCAATTGGCTACCATTAATTGTTCCACTCAACTCACTCCCAGTTACATTTTGCACACTTTAAGGACGCACTGCGTCACTGTAAGTGGAATCAAGGGGAGAGAGTACCGACCGAAACAAGCGAGATTAGTGCTCTTTATGAAAAACTTGGACCTCTGCCAGCAGGATTCTTGGGGAGCCTGTGAAGTGGTCGAGCTACTGCTTCAACTGGCTCAACGAGGTGGCTTTTACGCGGAGAATCTCGAATGGATTGGCGTTGGCGGGTTGCAAATATGCGCCTCCATTAGCGGAAATCCTGGAAAAATCGCACCGCGCTACTTTGCCATCAATCAGTTTGTGCGAGTTTCACGACCCACCAGCCAGGATATGCTGGAAATCGTCCAACGGCGATTGGAACCTCTTTTGGAGGAGCACTTCAGGGGTTTAGCCAATCGAGGAGGATACGGGGTCAATTTGCAGCACGTCAGCGAGAGTCTGATGGAGTGTTTCGAGAAGGTTGGTGCCCTCACCTCGCTTGATGGAATTCATCATCGCAGGGCCTCCTAATTGACTTTACCCTCTTTTAGCTGCAGGCGACTTTCACCACTGCGGGAGGCAGGCAGGCTCACTACCAGTTCAGCCCCAAATGCATCATGAAGCTGCTGGACTCCCTTGTCTTCTTTCCCGCCACTGATTTTAACGAGGTATGTTTGCAGTGAGAGAAAGTATGGGGAAGGTACGTCCCTATATACGAAAGAGCTGTTTAAATTAATTATTTTGAGGACAGTTCCGTAATTATCTTTAAAAAGAAGAAATAATATTTTAAATAAATCAAAGCTAACAAATATAAATACAATTTTAGACACAATTCATAAAGATAATCATATAACATATTTCAAAATTAAAATTTCGAATGCTGATGATAGCATGTTGCTTATGCCTTTTGCAAAATTTGACATATTTTCTCTCAGTGTATGCCTAATCAGACAGAAAATGTTCGTTTCGTTTTAGGCTCTCTACTGCGAGCTTTTAGGCATGTTCCGCGATAGATTGATTAGCGAAGAGCATGTCCAGCAGTTCGAGGCTATACTCAAGCAAACGATGCGCAAATACTACGGCAAGGAGGTGAGTTTAGCTCGGATTTGCCAAATGGAAACAAAGCTAATGAACACGACCATTTCAGAAAGTATTTTTCGTGCCCAAGTCGCCAAAGTCGCAGGGTCAACTCCATTGCCTAACCCATGACGAATGGTTGGAGGAAGTTCAGAGACAGGTGACCATTTGCAGTAAGTATCGAATAATATTTTACATAAATTGTAAGTCAGATTATACAATAAATTCTGCCCCAACTGATTCTGTTCTACACAATGGTCACTAGAATTGACAAAATTATTTTTCGAAGTTTTAAATAAGTCCTGCTATAGATTAAGCTTAATAGCTATTTTTAGACAAAATCCAAATGGCCATGTTAAATTAAATTTGTAAGAAAATATTTAAAAAGGAATCTTTAAAGCCCTCTTACACCCTATTAATAAATTCAATGTCAGAGTTCTGCTCACGCATCAGTTGAAGTTGCCCGGAGTTAATTCCGCAGTTTCAAGACAAGAGGAGGAGATGGATGATAATTTGGGGTAATCGGGGATAACTACACTGGGCCTGGGCGTCAGCTTGCGAAACCGATCCCGCTCGCGTTCCATCTGCCGGTACTCGGGATTCATGCGCTTGATCCGCTTCCGCTCTCGATCCCGCTCCCTCATGATGAACTTTTGCCGCGCCTCCTCCTCGGGGGTCATCCACTGAAAGTACACAGAATCATCGAATTTCGTCTGAGCATCGTTTCTAGTTAAAAGGTATTGCAGTTGATAGGGAAAAACAGAGGTACAGAGGCCAACTTCAATGATGTCTCATGAGAGAGCTTTAAATGGGGGAGGTAATATAATAAACTTCTTTAATTTAATAAGAGTTAAAAGGTAAAAAAATAGTATGTACTTGAAATAAAAACTAAATAACTTACATACACTTGTTAAATAATTGTTATTTAATAATTATAACTATGGATATTTAACAGATACCGAAAGCTACACCATCTCGGCTCCCATCACAGAAGAGCTCCTTAATAACACTGCTAGAATAACAAGAGTTCTATCACGAACCGATGCCCACATGCTTATTTTGGGGCAATCTGGTGGAAGACACCTGGATGCCATTTACACGGCGGCCACTTTTCTGGAGGCCAAGGTGCTAACTCTTCAAGGGGGACCCTCCTACGATCTCTCCGAGTTCTACAACGATCTTAAAGTGGCCATGCAGACGGCTGCCTTGGAGCAGCAGATGAGCTACTTGCTCATCGAGCATTGCTGGCTGACTTATGTGCCGGATATTTTGAAACCCATAGAAGCCCTGCTCGAGGGAAGCGAAATCTTGGAGCTTTTCGGCGATGATCTAGAGACGGTGGCCAGTACTCTAAAGCAAGCGGCACAGCTGGAGGGATACCAAGAATCTCTGGGGACATACTTTATGAAGCGTAAGTTTAATATATAATATATAGTATTTCCATTTTTTAAAAGAGTATTTCCCCTTTTTAGGTGCCCGTGAGAATCTTCACATCATTCTAGTCCTGGATCCCAGTAGCTCCAAGGTGCAGGACTACTTCAACAATTTCCCTGCCCTGCATCGTCAGATGGATTTGCTGTATATTAGAGCAGAATCCAGGGAAACCCTCGCCAACTTGCCCAAACAATATATCGAATTGTTAAACGAGTCAGTGGCAGGCGGCGGAAATGGGCGTGGCAAGGTGCCCGCCTGCAGTCACTTCGCGGACATATCGGATGAATTGCCTTCAGATCAGCCATCCCAAAGATATTACCAACTCATCTGCAGCTATTTCCACATGTACAGCAATGAGGCCAATGAAATCGACCAGAGACTGGGCAAACTGCAAATGGGAGTGGACAAACTGGCCTCGGCTCACGCCTTAGTGGATACCCTAAAGTCCAATGCAGCAGCTCAGGAACAAGCATTGGGCGAAAAGCGACAACTAGCTAATGAAGCTCTGGAAATGATATCATCCACAATGAGAAATGCCAATGAACAAAAATCCAGCATGCTGGAACTGAAACAACAGACGCAAAAGAGCAGCGAACAGTTGAAAGTCAGACAAAAGGAAATCCAACAGGAATTGGCAGAAGTGGAACCGATTTTGGCTGAAGCCAGTAATGCAGTGGGTCAGATCAAATCGGAAGCTCTATCCGAAATCAGATCTTTGCGGGCTCCGCCAGAGGCTGTGAGGGATATTTTGGAGGGCGTGCTGCGATTAATGGGCATCCGAGACACTTCCTGGAACAGCATGAAGACATTTTTGGCCAAGAGGGGTGTAAAAGAGGATATAAGATCATTGGATCCAGCTCGAATTAGTCCGGAAAACTGCGAAGCCGTGGAAAGATTACTCAAGGCCAAAGGTGATTCCTATGAGTCCAAGAACGCGAAACGTGCCTCGGCAGCAGCTGCTCCGTTGGCCGCTTGGGTGCAGGCAAGTGTTCGATATTCCCGGGTGATCCAGAGCATCAAGCCCCTCGAACGGGAGCAGAATGAATTGCAGAAGAATCTGAATGCTGCCGAGGACGAAATGCAAGAGTTGGCCAGTGGACTGGACGATGTGGATAAGAGGGTTAAGCAGCTGTCGGCCAAGTTGCAGACCTACACCCAAGAAGCAGCGGTGCTGGAGCTGAAACTCCAGGAGGCCAGTGGAACCTTGCAGGCGGCAGAGCTCTTGGTGGGTAAACTAAGCGCGGAATATGCCACCTGGAGTGATCAGTTGGCGGAGCTAAAGAAGGCCCACAAGACACTGGATGGTAAGACCCTATTGATAGCCATGGCTGTTAATTACTATGCGGGATTGGGCCTGGAACAGAGAAGGTGAGTTATTTAGGTACTTCATTAGGCATTTTATATCTTATGATTGTCTTATTCTCAAAGTTCTTCCCTTAAACGCCTTTCGGAGGACTTCCATCTGCCCTCCAACTTCGATCTCCGCGGATCGCTGCTTACGGAGCAACAGCAGATTATTTGGGAGAGTCAGGGACTAGCACGCGATGCCCAAATCATCGAGAGTGCTGCTCTTCTTAGGGAGATACTATCTCTACCCTATGGAGCCTGTCCTATTCCCCTACTTTTGGATCCCACACAAACAGCAGCCGAGTGGCTGATGGCCCATCTCAAAGGAAGCGGTAGAGCCTGCGAGTTGACCACCCACGGAAATGAAAGGTTATCCTATCAGTTAGAACTAGCAGTACGTTTTGGAAAGACTCTATTGGTCACCGATTGCGAGCAACTGCGTCCTCCAATCTTGCAACTCCTCCAGGGTCATATTTATGTGAGATTCAACAAGCGACAATTAGCCATTGGCTCGAAGTTGGTGGATCTCCACGAGAGTTTTCAATTGGTTCTGATAAGTAAATCGGATCGTTTGGATTTACCAGTAGAGCAGAAGAGTCAACTTAACGTTCTGAGATTTACGGTTACAGCAGCTGGTTTGGCCGATCAACTAATGTCCAAAGCTATTGTCTTACAAAATGCCGAATTGGAGCAGCAGAGGATAGAGTTGCTTCAAAAGGAGGGAGATCTTCTCAAGCAGCGAATGGAAATGCAGGACAAACTCCTCGAACAGCTCTCAAAATCAGAAGGAGATATCCTACGAAATGAACAACTTTTGGCTAGTTTGAATGAGGTCAAACTAAGCAGCGCGCAAATTGATGAGGCTCTTAAACAAAGTGGAACAATTAGGGAAACTCTTCTCGCCCAATTTGGTTCCCTAAGGGATCTCTGTTCCAAGGCCTCTGGATTTTATGCAGGTCTCATTCAAGGTTATGAGTTATCTGCCTTGGTCTTTATAGAACTATTTTTGGGAGCACTTTCCAAAAATCAGCGAGACGAGTCGAAGGTCTACGAATTACTAGTGAGAAGTGTTTACATGAATTTAGCAAGAGCAACATCCAGAGAAAGTCAGCAATCCTTATCCCTGTGGGTTTGTCATCAGGCATATCCCGATAAATTAAGCACAAAAGAATGGGAGTTGTTTGTGAACAATTTCATGGGATCATCAGATGGCAGTTTGCTCTTAAGCCAGCTGGGAAAACTGCCCGACTGCATGACCAAGGAGGCCCAATTAAAGCTGGCTATGTTGCTGCAATTCTTTCCGGATTTACGAAGCAAACTGCAGTTGGAAAAGGATTATATCTGGCGAGGATTTATTGAGGCTCAAGCGGATGATGTGCTGCGTAAGTTGAAGAAATGGTTTAATTAATATTTTTTCCTTAACCGGAATTGCTTTTAAACTTACAGCTGCCTTGGGTTCCAGTTTCCAGCGCGTACTTATTGCTCAGATTTTCCGCCCCGACTTGATGCTTCATCAACTGCGAAAAGTGAGCAGTGATCTGCTGGGAATCTCCCCAGATGCATCTACACAACCCTCTGTGGAACAGTTGCTGCAACAAAGCAGCTGCGATCGCCCCATTTTAATGATTAGTCAGGCCGAAAATGATCCTACCACCGAGTTAAGAAAGTGGGCCAATCAAAAGTACAGGGAAATGGCCATTGGAAAAGGTGCAGAGAAGAGAGTTCTTTCCGAAATGCGACAGGCTGCCTTAGATGGCCACTGGTTGTGTGTGAAGAATGTCCATCTGGTGCCCGAATTCCTAACCCAAGTGGAAAGGGAACTGAGTGAAATTCAAAAGTCAAAGGACTTTCGTTTGTGGCTGCTGTGTGAATCCACTGCAGGATTTTCCGAGTCTGCCATCTTTAAATGCCTTAAAGTGCGGTATGAGCAACCCAAAGGACTCAAGCAAATTGTTATGCGTTTGCTTCAGAACTACGCAGCTGAACAAGATCAAAGTTTCAAAAACCAGCCAAAGTCTCTCAAGATGCGACTGGTTTATTTTATTCTGACGGCAGTACTCCAACAAAGGCGTCAATTTATACCGCAAGGTTGGTCGAAATACTACGAGTTCGGTGAGGCGGATCTCAAAGCGGCTTTGGGTATTCTTAAATGGATGGATCAGCAACTAAATTCTGGAAAATGCGATTGGTTGCTCTTGCAACGTCTGAGTGAAGCTCTGGCTTTTGGTGGAAGAGTTAATAACCTGAGGGACTTGGAGATACTAAGAAGCTATCTAAATCAGTTTTGTTCGGCGGATGTTTTGAGCAATCGCTGGTCTCCACTTGGATTATCCCTATCCATACCCACCAGTAGTCAACTGCAAGACTACTATGCAGCATTGGAAAAGCTGCCCGAAATAGATGAGCCCAGTATGTATGGTTTGGCCAATCAGGCACAACAACAACGTGAAATTGAACAGGCTAAAAGAGTTATCAAGGAACTAAGGGGTCTGCACTATGGTAGCGGATCAGCTGGGGATTCAGGAGGATCGGGACAATCCAGAGGAAGTGATCAACTCACTGATCGTCAGAAGCTCGAGCAGCAAATTAAACCACTTCTGAATCTGTGGAGGAAACTAGCTGGGTCCTGTACAATAATGCAAACAGTTAAGGAGGCGAAAGCTGAATCCGGGGAATCCCCGTGGTCACTGTTTGTGCTGGCTGAATTGAAAGTGGGTGCAGATCTATATGGTATTGTTCACCAGACTCTGTCCCAGATGCATGCTTGGCTCAAGGACTCGCAGGACGTGGATGGCCGCACTCTGAGGGCCTTGGCAGAACAACAGGTATGGTTATTTACTGGAATGTATCAGGATCTTGCTAACTAAATTATTTAGTTTCAATCTGACTCTTCGGAACTTTAACTGATACTGATAATGGATTTTTTTCCCTAGATTCCTGCCAGTTGGCTGAAAGTATGGAGTGGTCCTGGTAGCAGCAGTGCCGTGGACTTTTTGAGAGCCCTCATTATTCGAGCCCAGGCTGCCGAGCTGCGTTTTCGGGAGCAACTGGCTCTGGAATTCGGCGAGGAAATCAATCTGATCCAAGTGTTTAACTGTGAGAACCTTTTGGCCTGCTTAAAGCTGCTGCAGTCTCGCAAGTTGGCCGTTTCAACGGAACGTCTGGAGCTCCAAACTTGTGGGCCACAAAATTCGGATGGCGATTCCCTGGGAGCAATTCTCAAACTGGCGCCTTTGAAGGTAAGTAGAAGATATGTTTAGACGGTCTTTAAGCAAATAACTCATTGAAATAACACAGCCAAATTAACAAAATTCTTCTTAAAATTGTAAAATCAAACTGGTTAAAAATTTTGTTAGGAAATCATTTCATGTATTGGAAAATATTAAATATTTGACCGTTTTGAATAGGAATCAATTTAGAGAACGAATTTTATATGCTATATTCTAGTAATGTCAACCAAATGCTTAATTAGTTTATATGATTTAAGATATTTCAAATATTATTGGACTCTAAGGCCGAATTATCTTCTCATTTTATGGTATATTTTTAGTAACAAGTATAATCAATAAGGATAAGTGTAAACATAACAACACCAATGCTTTAGAAATAGATCATTAGGTTGTTTTCAAAGATAATTCAATATAATTTGGCAGACTGTTTAGTATTGTGATTGATATTTGGCATACATATCTACATATGAGTTTGTCAGTTTAAGTGGTGACACTACATCCCATAGTGGCAGTGATTATTCAAAAACAGATCCTGAAAGATATATCTATATACTGTTGGCATCCTCTCTCCTCCCCCTCCCCCATCACCAGCTTTTCTTTTTAGCTTCTCTGCGTCTTCTCGTCTTCTTGTCTTTGTGTCTCACCTTCCCCATTTTGGCCATAAAGTGGGTCTCCATCGCCGTCTCCATTCTGGCCGTTTCCATGGCGCCCGTTTCCGTTATCCTATGCCTCCTGTTTCCGGTTGCCCGTGCTTCACGTTCAATGCATCGAAATTGACCAATTTCTCCCGTTCTATTCAGTTTTCTTTCTCACGCCGCTTTTTTTTTTTGTTTTTGATTGACATTCCGGCACTAGAGGTGGAGAAACATCGATGGTAGTTCATCGCATCGATATTTGCAAAACATAGGTATATCGATGTATGGTTGGGCGTCATCGATGTTTTGCCACACTTAAAATTCAAATGAAATGGTTGCTGTATTCGCTATATGCTAGCAGGTGTGAAACTCTGCTCATGGAAGATATAAGTAAAATTAAGTGGTTCTCAGATACAACGCTAGATGTCGCAGAAACAATATCGATGCTTGTAAAAATTATCAAATTATAAATTTGTATACAAAAATAGTATTACAAAAGCAATAATTTTTTATATATTTATTTAGAATCGAAAATAATATTTGTGACTATCCGTTGCAGATTGATGGCGCCAAGAGTGGAATGGAAAAATCAAATCCCTTTTACATCAGCTACAAAATAAAGGAAGATGCTAATATTGCGAGTGCCAGTTCCTCAAAGTATGGAAAAAATTCTTTATATCCGACCCAAAGAAACGAATCCAATCCCAAGTTGCCCCTATATTCTCGGAGCAGTCGGGATAAGTTGATTTGCCACCTTAATGTGGATATGGTGACGGGCACATCGGAACAGATTCTCTTGGCCGGAACCGCGCTGATCGTCGAAGATTACTAGAAAAAAAGCAATACAAAATATCAATTATATTAATATAAAGAAAAAACAACTTATACCAAAGGCGACATATGTGTGGACATAATAAAATCCTTAATTAACTCAAGAGTATAACAATATACAAGATTGTTAAAATAACGTTAACATAAAATATAAAATAAAATATTAAAAATATTGAACTGTTTTTAAATACTTTTTCTATTTATTTATTTTATATATTCTGTTTCAAAAAGAACGGTAGGTATTAAAAGTATTAAGTAGTTTACAAAAAAGAGTATTTCGTAACTTAGTTTTGTTACAAATTTGAAACAGGAAATTTTTGCTTTTAATTGTAAGAGTTATTTATATTTATTCTTTCCGCTCTCGAGTTGTTTTGTCCAGACCAATTGTTAATAAATATTTAACTAAGGAGTATTTATGTAGCCAAACACAAACAGCAAAAGGCGCCATTAACATTTAAAGCCAGAGCTTCCAAGTGCTAATTGATTTCCATATGTCAGTGTCTGTGTTTATTTGAGGATGCCCCCAAAATTTAATTTGCCCCAGCCGAAGGGATTTTATTGCGTCCTGCGTCCCTCATAATCTGCTCATATTTAACTAATTGCCGTAAATTTCAACAACAAACACCATAAATGTGGCCCATACTTTTAGTTGCCAAGACATCCTTTCGAGCCGCCGGGCTCGAAACCATTTTACCATCAAAAACTTGTCTTAACTTTAATTAAGTGGCATTATGTTCAATTAGGCAAAAGTTTCCAATATGCAAATTAACACAATTTGAGTGTAAAGTGCCTCCCGTAGCAGAAGAAGGGCAAGGGCGGAAGGTCTTGGGGGCGTGGCAACCAGAATCTGTGCCAGATAAATTGCCCAACGCACAAATCAAAGCGCCTCGAATCGGTGGGCGTGGCAGTTTGTTAACTCATTTTGCACATTTGGCTATGCAAGATTTCTCATCTCTTCATTGATTTTGTTGTAGGGCTTTCCAAACTCCTGTTGTGCTGTTGGCTATTGACAATAAATAATTTATTATGCTTCAAATGACAATTTCTTAGGCTGGAATTAAGGAATTAGGCTTGCGGATATAAAAGAAAATCGGCTTCGACATAGTAAGTGAAAATAGATAAAAGATAAATAATATGCAATTGAATTCAACAAATTAAGATGTTATTTATCGACTCAAAACTCACATAAATATGAGTAAAGTTTAATTTCAGTAAATATGAAATCGATTTTAATGAATACCCTTAAAATTTCAACTAATTTCCCTCACATTTTCAAACCGAAACCACATTTATGAGACCCTTAAACTATTTGCCCCACCGCAATGTTGGATTACCAACTTACCCAAATAGTTCATCGCATTTAATGTTAAAAGCTTGTGGTTTGGTTATATGGAATTCGCATTGGATAATCCCCACAAAGTTGCAGCTTAATTATGGGCCCCCCCATTCGACCCCCGAAAACTCCCATTGACGATTAAATTTCAAATCTCTAATTTGTAGTTGATGGGCAGCCGAATCCGTGCTTCACACTCACATGCACAAAATGATATCCTTCGGCTTGTGCAGTGTTTGACAAATGTTAGGGGCAAATGGCTATATCGTTGTAATCCTTGCCAGCCAACAAGCATCGGCATCTAATTGCAGTAGCTGGGATTAGAAATTAATTAAAGTATAAGGGTAATGTGACATTTGCATGTGTTTCCCGCCCATTTCCTGGTACCCCACAGCTGCCATAAATGCAAATCCCTTCAAATGTGATTTATCAGCTTGCACTAATGCCGGACTTTTGACTTTGCAGCCGTACTATTACCATCGTCAAAGGAATCAGTTTCGTCTTTGACTTTGACTCCTCTTCGATGGCACCTAATGACCCGGGTTCTTATTTAAGTGGCAGCAAAAGGTTCATTGCCATTCACTCCAAAGCATTTGAATGGCCACGGACTTTATTAATTGGTTGCACCTTTGGGGGAATTTAAACTGGCAGAAATAGTGTCAAATTTATGGGACTTAATTTATGATATTGAAGTTTTATGTGAATTTCGTTAGCATAAGAAAATAATAACTATTTTGCAATTTTATCTAATTTAAATTGATATAATTGGATATTAAATTTCTATAACAAAATTAAACAAGAAGCAAACTAACTTAATTAAAATTGTTTTTTTAAGTTATTATTATGTTTGATAGGATTTGCTATAAATTTAAAAGTTGCCATGGAATTTAGAAAGAAACTTAAAAAATGTAATGCAAACTTCTCAACTTTCCATTGATGCCTTCGTTTCAATATGCAAACTACGGCATCGTGAAAAAGCAGTGTAATGAAACACTTGCTCTTATTTCTTTCAGGGTAATTCCGACTTATCTCACCTTGGCCCACGAATTCAGTAGCACTGAAAACAGCGAAACATAGAGAATATTTCATGCATAATGCGGAGGAGGTGAGGTGAACAAAACGGGGAAGTGGAGTCAACAAAATGCAGATAACGCGATGGCAGCTGTGTCTTTCCTTCGTTTTTAAACAGGCTTTGCTGTCAGCGGCGTTTCCGGTTCCGTTTTGCCACTCCCTGACTAGCGCCACCTGGCGGCCGCTGGTGTCTGCACTTCAGGAACGTGATAAAGTTATGTTAAAAAAGTATTCCTCTTTTTTTTACATTTTTTATTTTTGCATTGCGCCTGCAAATAAATTGCATTTTTGTTTCGGCAGCCGCATTTCATATTTGTATTCCCAGCCCTTCTTGCACTTCTTTAACCCTTTTTTGCTTAGCTGCTTAACCCTGTAGTGCCGGGAATTGGTGTTTTTCTTGTTGCAGCAGCAGCTCTTACCAAGTTTTGTATTTATTTGCGTGTAAACTCAGTCACGTTCGCTGGAAAAAAGGGAAAAATGGGGCTGCAATCAGCGTTTTATGCATTCCGCCCATGGGAGTTGGAAAATCCCATTCAAAATGCCGCTCATTTCGGGAGCATTTTTGGCCTGTCTCTTTTTATTTCCGCCCCCCTTTCGCGCACAAAAGTGCATAATTTTAGTTAAATTTTTGGCATTTCATGCACGAAATCGTTTCTGGGTTAATTTACGTGTGGCTTTCAATAATTGTGTCACCTGCAACCTGGACCCTCTTAAATTCAGCGTGCATACCTCATGCAGAATGTGACAAATAAAATTGAATTAACAGCTAAATATAATGGAATTTTCCCCAGGAGTGCTGAAATATTTCTGCAGAGCCGTTGCCCGGGCAACAGGTGCACTGATTCGCGACAATTTGACATTCCAAACGCTTGACACGAGCACCATAAACTAAACATGGCAAATATAGCAATTAAACTTTAATTGAAATCTCAAATAACAATTGCACAGTTGACGGCCGCACTCATATCAATAATTATATTGATATCGGAATCGTTTCACCAAAAAGGTGTGCATACGAAAAAATTTAGAAAATAAAAAAAAAACATTTTTCGACCCAAAAAAAAAGGGAGAACACAGATTTTTAGAGAATTAAGCCACAATCATTTTGAGGTATGCCACTTTGCAATCGGATGTCTGTAAGAAAAGATATGAGCTTAGAAGTGCCGTTTTTAGACACTTTTCTGCAAAGCCATTTTTCGAGAATTTGGATAGGGGTAACATCATAAAAATGACCAAAAATCGACCCAAAAATACAAACCAAGATGAGTACACAGATTTTTAGAGAATTTAACCGCAATCATTTAGAGGTATGCCACTTTGAAATCAGATGTCTGTAAGAAAAGTTATGGGCTTAGAAGTGCAGTTTCTTGACCCTTTTTTGCAAAGCATTTTTTTGAAAATTTGAAAAGGGGTTAACATTATAAAATGACGAAAAATCGACCAAAAATTACAAACCAAACTGAGTATACAGCTTTTTAGAGAATTAAACCGCCATAAAAATAACGACCCCAAAATACAAACCAAGTTGAAAACACAAATTTTAAGAGAATTAAGCCACAAGCATTTAAAAGTGAAATCGGATTTCTGTAAACACTGAGCATGTACAGTGTATATATTTATATTTATTATATTTATTTAATACTCGAGCTACTATTTTCTATTTCGAACATCATTGTTACATAAACATTTCACTACATTTCAGTAAAAATAATATACATGAAACAAACACCTTTTTTAACTTTTCCATTCAAAAAAAAAAATAATAATAAATAGAGAAAAGTGAAGTCTCTTTATTATGTTTACTTCGCTTTAATCACAGGTAAACTAAAAAACACTTCGGGCTACAAAGTGATAGAAAATGTTGTTTGCACAGCAAAGGTCAACTTTAAAGAGAGTTTTAAAATGCGATTCGCAATTAAGTGAATTAAGTGGAATGCAACTTTTATGACTGCACCCCCGCTACATATGAATGTCAGAACAATTAGGCAACAGTTATCTGTCCATTACACCAAGAAACTCTCCGAATAGATAGGACTCTATCCCTGTCATCATAAATTTTGCGGCCCAAGGCATTAAACAAACTAGCACAAAACTCATTTGGTAAACAGGCAGGATATGCAGGATGTGCACAATGGGGCATGTGTGCGTGCTTGTGTGGTGTATGTGTGAGCGGGATTAGGGAAGTGTGCGTGCACTTTCAACACACTGCAAGTGTTGCAGTTGTGAATCTTGAAAGTTTTCGGCCCGGTTTGTCCAAAACTTTTCGTTACCGCTGCCTGCTGGTCATGTTGCCATGGATTTAGCTAGAGAATTTGCAGCCTTTTTCCAAAGGGACTTTGCATACACATACACAGGGGGTCCTTAGCCTTGGCAGCGACTTTGGGCCGCAAAAGTTATGGTTGGAACATCGAAAGCCACGTTGCCCCCAGGTTTTGCATGCTCTTTGCCCCTTTTTGCCCATCCTACTAGCAACATAAAAGATGCCGGGTAAAGCTGCCAACGAAAACTGTGAAAACTGCGAAAATGTGTTAATTAACCGAATGTGAGTGTGTATTTTGTTTTGGGAAAATTAACACTTGTGTACATCAGGCGCAAGA